AAAATTTTGCACTTGTTATACAAAAAGCTGTACATAATATGGTCAACAAGATAAAGGTACCGATCACTTTATATCCATGAAATCATCGCCAGAGTTTATGCCATAAATATATCCATCACCTCCGAAAATTCCCTCTTGACCTCTTTGTTATTATATTGTGTTTTTGTCTGTGATTGGAACACTTAACATAAGATCTATTCTCTTTTCAAATTTTTATGAGGAAGGGGTAATTGAAAAATACGGTGAATGTTTAATTTTAAAAGTTGTTGTAGTAAAAGACACATTGCTGCTAGTCCCCCTCAGAATACTCCCCCTCTCTCTGGACACACATATGCTGTCACTCTGGTGGTGGCATGGGCCTCTCATCCCAGCACTTGGGAGGCTGAGGCAGGAGAATCACCATGAGTTCAAGACCAGCCTGGGATACATAGTGACTTCAAAGCCAGCCTGAACTACATAGCGAGGCCCTGTCTCAAAAAACCAAACCAAAACAAAAGAAAACAAACAAACAAACCCAAACTTTAAACACTATTTTTTGATCACACGTTGTATGTAAAGTTAATGCTAGAGAGACTGCCGTACGCTAGGTCTCCGGGACCTTGTCATCTTGTCTGCCTGACACCTTGCACTCTTTGATTACTATTTTCTCTTCCTCTTTAGACCTTGGGAAGCACCATTTTTCCCTTGCTTCTGTGAGCTTGACTCTGGGCTTGATTTATCACGGTACTGCTCTTTTACACCTTTTCTTTCTCTTTTGTTCTCCATTCTTGCTGGTCTTTTATCAGTTTTATTATTGCTATTATTTTTTAAAGAACTGACTTTTAACTTTTATCCTCTTCCTCATGGGCATGGTACCATGTAGTATTTGTCCTTCTATGTCTAGCCCATTTCACTTGGGGTAATGTCCTCTACTTTCATCAGTATTATCACAAATGGCCAGATTGCCTTACTTTTTAAGGCAGAACGATACTCCATCGTATGTTGGGACTGTGTCACATTTCCTGTATCCATTCATCCATCTGTGGACATGTAGGTTGCTCCCAGGTCTTGACTCTCGTGAATAATGCTGTAGGTAACATGCAAGTGAAGATGTCTCATCAAGATCCAGATTTCAGTTCTTTCTGATTGACATCCAGAAGTGAGTCACGTGGTAATTATATTTCATGCATTTGTTCATTTATTTATTTACTTGTGGTACCAGGGATTCAACCCAGGGCCTTTCCAGAGCTATATCCCCAGCCCTTTGTTATTTTTATGTTTTATTTTTGAGACGGGATCTCCCTAAATCCCTATGTTGCCTAGGCTGGCTTTGAACTTGCAAACTTTCTGCCTCAGCTTCAGCCTCCCAGAGTGCTGAGATTATAGGCATGCGCCACCTTACCTGTCATGTATTTTTGATTTTCTGAGGATGCATCATAGTGTTTTCCATGGTGGTGGTACCAGTGGTGGTACCAGTTCCATGGTGGTGGTACCAGTTCCACCAAGGAAAATACATTTCTTTTATATAAAGACTCCCTTTTCTCTCTCTATTCCCCAGTAATTATCTTTTGTGGTTTAAAAAAGTTATTTCTTTATTTACTATAGTGCCGGAGATCAAACTCAGCGCCTTGCCTCTGCTAAGCTAGTGCACACTGCTGCACTACAACCCCAGCCATTGCTTATTTTTTAATAAATAGCCTCCCGACAGATGTGAAATGATGTCTAATGCTTTTGTTTTGCGTTTCTCTCACGATGAATGGGGTGGAGCACATTTTCCTGTACTTGTTTGCTATCTATATATCTTCTTTGGAGAAGTATCCGTTTAGTACCTTTTAAAATTTATCAAATTGGGTATTTGTTTTTCTTTGCTATTGAGTTCTCAGTGTTCTTTAGACATGTAGAATTTTGGGTAGTAATCCTCCATCAGATACACGGATGGCAAATGTTTTCTCTCATTCTGCAGGTTGCCTTTTCATTTTGCAATGCATTTCTTTTCATGTGCAGAAGCTTTTACTTTGATGTAATCCCACTTGTCTCGTTTTGCTGTTGTTGCCTGTGTTTTCAGTGATCTCCTTTGATTTATCCCGGATACTGGTCATTTACGCCTTCTTGTTCTCTTTTGTTCTGTCGTCTGGTCCTTTATCAGTTTTATTTATTTATTTTTATTTTTTTAAAGAACTGACTTTTAACTTTTATTTCGCTTTATTTTATTCCTTTTATTTTTATTTCCTTCCTTTTGTTTGTTTTAGGTTTAATGTATCTTTTTGTCTTCTGAATTTCTTTTTTAGTATATGTAGCTAAGGCTATGGATTGCTATTTTTTTTTTTTTTGTTTGTTTGTTTGTTTGTTTTTTGAGGCAGGGTCTCACTATGTAGTTGAGACTGACCTGGAACTCACTATGCAGTCCAGGCTGGTCTCAAACTCACAGCGATCCTCCTGCCTCAGCTGGGATTACAGGCATGCACCACCACGCCCAGCTGGATTGCTGTTTAACCATAGCATTACTGTTTTATGTATATATGTGTGTGTGTGTGTGTGTGTGTGTGTGTGTGTGTGTGTGTGTGTGTATTATATATATTTATATATATAAAAGGTGTGTGTATATCTTTGTGTCTGTGTGTGCTGGCGAATGAACCCAGTCCTCTCATGTGCTAGGCAAGTGCCCGACCATTGAGACATATTCCTCAGCCCCTTCTATAACTTTTGTAAGTAGAATTTTACAAATTATTTATTTTAAAGCATTTTCTAATTTTCAGCGCAAACTTGAGTCACCATTTCTTACTTTTTAAAAAAAATACTTCTAATAAAAAGAATTTTCTGGGATCTTGTTGATTTCTAACTTAATTCCATTGCAGTCCAAAAACATTCTTTCCAATTTTAATCCTTCAAAAGCTTTGAGATTTGCTTTTAGTGCTACACACAGACACTTCTGATAAATATTTCTTAGATACTTGAATATATATTTTGCTGTTGTGTTTGGTGGTTGGTATTTTTAGTTATTTCCTGTTTGTCAGTTATGTTGTGGAAATCTACTGTATGCTTTATATTCGTCTGCTTATTTTGTCCTTTACTCAGAGGGCTATGTTAACATCTCCCCCTGTGACTGCAAACTTTCCTATTTCTCCTGCTAACTCTGTCAGTCCGACTTAGGTATGTATGAGGCTATAAATTTAGAATTCCCATATACTCTTGGTGGGTTGAAATTTACCATTGTGAAATGTTCGACCCTTTCACTTGTAGTACCACTTTCTTTAAAGTCTCCTTTTTCAGAAATTGGTATAAACGAAACCAGATTTCTTTTGGCTCATGTTACTTGTTATATCTTTCCCATTATTTTATTTTAAATATTTTTCTTTATGTTTAAAGATATAAAACACAGCATACATTCTTTTGCAAGCAACATATCGTATGTGTGTGTTTTATAGAATATAAATATTTATCTTTTTTTCTTTTGCAGTCATCAGTCCTTATATTTGATCTTGTGGCTCAAAACGAGTCTTGAATTTGTTGTGTGAATGGTTGTTAGCAACCATTCAAATGTGCTTATATCTTAAGCGGTTCTTCTTTTGGGGCTCAAATTACGTGTGTGTGTGTGAGGGAGCATAAGACAGCCTGCTTCAACATGTCCCTAATGTTTCTTGTTATTTTAATTATCTTTCTTCTTTTTGTGCTTCATTTTGAATATTTTTTGGAATTATTTTCTAGTTCTTTGTATCTTCCCTTAACTGTGTCTTGCCTTCTGTTATACCTGTACTTTGTATTTTTAATTATGGTTGCTATGTTAGCTTCCATATTATCTATTTGATTATTTTTCATTATTTCCAATTCAGTGGAAGAATTTTTTATTTGATCTTTTGATTTCTTGACTACATTCACTACAGTGATTTTGATCCCTTTTCTGATAATGTCACTGAATAGACCACCTCTGTGGTTGTTTTTCGTTTTCCTTCTTCTGTCTTATCTTCAAGTATGTCTAGCTATTTATGTTTGTATGCCAGAGATATAGGAGAATTTGAAATAATTGCAGTGATAATTCAGGACTCCAGAGAGTGCTGTACAGCATTTTCTTATCCTTTGGAAGTCAGACAGGGACATCACTTGAATCCATTCAGAAATTGAAATGGCTGAGGCTATGCTTCTTCCCATGCTAGACTAATTTTGGTTGTACTATGAGGGCATAGCCCTCTAGGATCCTAACCAAAGATTTGATATATTTACCAAGGCTAGAGGGCTGAAGGCTCTGGGCTCGACTATGAGTCCTTTCCTCTCTCTAAAGCTCCACAGCTTGGCCCATCTTCTGAGGCTCTCAGGCACTACTTTTGGGATTACAATAGGAATTGCGGGGTAAAATGTGCTGAGTGCTGTCCTAAAGAACTCTCAGAGGTAGTATCCTTCTCTGAAGCTTTCAGTTAGGGGTGAGTGTGTGTGTGTGTGTGTGTGTGTGTGTGTGTGTGTGTGTGTGTGTGTGTGTGTGTGTGTGTGTGTGTGTGTGTGTGTGTGTGTGTGTGTGTGTGTGTGTGTGTGTGTGTGTATGTGTGTCGGGGTGTACTGTCCAGCCTTTTGCATTGTTCTTACCAGGAGGGTGTGTCCAGGAGACCTAGGCCACCATTACCGGAAGTGGAAGTGCTGCAGCATTGTGGGACAGAGCACAGGGTCCCCTCACCCCTGAGTCATTGTTGGCAGTTAAAGGACAGACCGTCCCTCGAACTCTTCTGTAGTGGGGCCTTTGTCTTTGCAGTTGCTCCGTGTCTAGGGAAAGTTTGTTCAAGCGCACTGTGTGGACCTTTGGTCAGGTGATTCTCTCTGGTGGGGACCAAACTGGGCACTGCAAGGTGTTTTGTAGACTCCCTGGCCTTTACTACCTAGTAATTAGCAGCGCCTTGCTGACGTGTCTCCAAGTTTATACCTGTCTCCCAGAGCCCATCGCCACCTCACGTTGAGGACCATGTTGGTCATCCGACATGACTCAGTGTGTTTGTTGATGCTGTGTTTTCTAATGTTGATTTTCCTTTAAACCGTAGGGTTTGAAACTGCGAAGTCTTTTGCTCTGCATGGTGCTCACGTGATCCTGGCCTGTAGGAATATGGCAAGAGCCAGCGAAGCAGTGTCCCGTATTTTAGAAGAGTGGGTAAGCACTTGGCTGTTTTGCTTTTTAATAGTCACGTACACACACCGGCCTAAACACATGGAGGTTTTAGTGCGGAGCATAAAGTTTATTGCTCTTGGAATAATATCTTTATTTTTAAAGTCATCTTCACATTGTTTACTTTATGAATGAGAGGATGAGCCAGCCTGTTATTATCCATGCGTTTGTTTATAGTTCACTGTCAATGTCATCTGCTTTATTAGCCAGAGATTTGAGAATGTTTACTCATTTAGCTCATATATTAAGAAAAATAAAACATGGTTAACACCCATGAGTGCAACTGGGAGATTGTTATACTTGTGGTTTTTAAGATTAGAGAGGAGGAGATTTTAACCCTGTCCTTGTTTTTTTGATTTTCTCTCTCATGTGGATGTTGGTGCTGGTGTTTCTGTGCATAAACATTTGCTGAGGATTGGAAATGGTCTTGGGACTGAGGACATAGCACTGAACAAAACAAATCCCTGCCCCATGGGCTTCCCTTCTAGGTAGGAAAAGCAGGCCACAAAGGAATAATTATGTTTGATAGCATAACATCAGGCTGTAATAAGTGTTATAAAGGACAGTAAAGTAGAGTAAGGGACAAGGAGTGACAGCCTGAGCTGTGTAGAGGGAGTGGTCAGCCAGACCCTTCTGAAATTGTGACATTTGAATTAAAATCTGAACAAGGCAAAGAGTCAGCTATTTGGTGTCTGGGGAAAGGCTTCCCTAGTGTTGGGAGCAGAATTTGCAAAAACACAGAGGTAGGAACAGGTTTGGAGGATTCCAGGGTCATAGGGAAGCTAGGGCAGCTGGAGCCAAGTAGAAGGAGAGATGGGAAAGGAGAGGTGGTGGTAGCAGAGGCATGTGGGTGTCTCAGGGTCTCAAGACAGTGTGGAAAAAGATAATAGAGAATTTAGCTAGGGAGAGACACACTGTTCCTTGTTTGAGCATGAAATACAGACTGCATTCACTCATGCATGTACTTATGAAATGCACCACTGTGATGGGTGGTTCGTGTCGTTTCCACTTTGTGTCTTTGCATTATCAACACGTAGAAAGCATGTAACACCTGTACCTGCCATGTGTGCTAGTAATGTGTTGGGTTTCCACACCGTCCCCTCTTCCTCACCCTTGATATCTGTTGGTCTGGTTTTCTTTAGGCTCTTGCTTATCTCACAGCTCTGTGCAGAGGTTTTATCTGGCATATCACTCAGTACCTTCTTATATCACTAAGTACCACCTTCTCGTGTTCCTCAGGGTCGATTTGATCCACTGCAGTGTTTCAGGCAGTGAGCCAGCTTGCAGTGTGTTCAGACATTACTGGGACAAATGAGATGAGTATCGGGCCGGGGAGGTACTGCAACACACTGACGTCTCACTGGAGAGTGCCAGAGTGATGCAGCAGTTTTTGTTTTAGCCAAAGCTGATTCAGAAGTCTCTAGGCCTTCTGGCTCCGTAGTGGCTGTCGTGTGCCCAGGCTCTACGGGGGTTTCCAGCTCTGGTTCTGGAGGTAGAGTCTATCTCACCTTCCCCAGTGTCCTCTTTCCTGCCTGTCTTCCTCTTTAGCTTCCACTGTACATTTTAGGACTGCCCTATCCAAATGCTCATGTTTACTTCTTAGTCCCCATTCACGGAATCCCTGCCATGTCCTGTACTCTGTCTGGGCAAGGCCCTTCATGTCACGTGAGAGGAGGTAAAAGCCCACTCCTCTCCATTTTATAGAAGAGCCAAGGATAACTCTGAGGGATGTGCCCAGAGCTGCGGGGCTAGTGAGTCTCAGAGTCTGTCTACTGGGCTTTTCTTCCGCACTCAGCCTCTTCTAGGTTTTGTTTTCGGAATCTGTAGGTGTTAGCGGTGTGATAAATTTCAGGATTAGTCATGTTTCATACAGGAGACTACTGTGACCCACTTTTGCATGCAAGTGTCTTTACTAGAGCTTTCAAGCCACTTTTAGGGAGACCCAGCTACTTCATAAAGCATAGCTTAAGTGAAAACGTATTCCACGTGAGAGTGTATTGAAAACATACCCCTACTTGCTACTGCTAATAATTATTTCATGTGCAAATGCCCTTGTCCTAGGATGTTTTGGATGCCCCAAGGTTGGAAATGACAAAAGGTATGAAAACAAAGTAGGGGCCCGTGGACAGGGTAGAAACAAACCACCCTTTTAAAAGGCAAATCCACTTAGCCTAACTAAGTAGAAGGGAAGAGGAGGGAGCCCGTCAGCCTTCAGTCAGATTTGGCTGATGTGTCTCTGGAATACTAGAGCTATCTCAGATGTGGTGTTTGTGCACGTGTTGTCAGTCCACACGCGTGAAGATGTGGTCCACCTTAGTCACCTACTGTGCAGATCGCAGGCTGGTGTCCTTTGCCTTTAAGCCAAGTGCCAGTGGCTTGCATCTGCGGGGCAGAAGTGGACTGGCATGGGAGGAGGAGCTGATGCTCCTCTCTTGGAGTTATCACTTAAGCTACATCTGACTCTCCAGAATGTTTCTCAAGCCCCTTCCCTGTCACACGGGCAGAAGGACATAGTACACTTAGTTTGCCGAGATTTGACCCCTGGGAAAGACTTTAAACCCAAGCTTTCCTGACTCATCTCTGAATTCTGCCTAGACTTCGAGTCTTTTATGTGCTGATTCGGATGCTTGTCTGCCAGGACAGTGAAGCAGGGATCTAGCCCAGCTTGTCTGATTTTCTTATGGCCATCAAAGCAAGATTTCCCAGAGGTCCAAGAAATGCAGTGTAGGGTGGCTTTCAGGGTGTCTCATGTGGTAGCATCTTCTCAGTACACTAGCCTTAGTCTGAAACTGGGTCCCATCAGTGGGTCCCATACCGAACACATGGAGGACAGAGTGTACAAAATAAACCTGCCTCACCCTCTGCCTTCTACGTTTCCCATGCCCATTGTGACAACCACGAATGTCTCTAGGCTTTGTCAGATATTTCCTGGGGGTTCACATTGTCCCTAGTTGATTACTGCTGTGGGGAAATACGCTGTATTATTAGAAGCACATACATATTATTACCTTGGGAAATTTAAAAAAATTTTTTAAAACTCCAGTTTCTTCATCTATAAAATGCAAATGATGTCTGTACTGAGACATGGGGTGGTCGCATTAAACACCTTGGCCATATGTGTGTAAAGTATTAACACATTGTGGGGAAAGATTAAGTGCTCAATTAAATGGTAGCTACTGCTATTAATAACAGTAATGATAATACTTTCTTATTCATGCACGAAGAGCAAAATGATGCTTACTTTTCTTAACCTCACCAGGTGACCAAAAGAGGCCCTTCAGGGGGCAAGTTTGTCAAAGCATGATTCAGATGGGTTTGCAGTGAATTCCTTTTCTGTCTTCATATGTCTGGGCTCCTACGTTTTAATAGATCTGCACTTAGTTTGTTGATTAGTATTTTCCAGTGTGTACCTCATATGAGCACTCAACTGTCATTTGAAAAGCCATCTTAATTATTTATGTGATTGCTTTTTCCTTTGTATTTACAAAGAACTACACTTTGCATATATTTAGGAAAGGTGATTAAGGGATTAGTCATCAGGAACAGCAAGCAATGGTTTATATCACAATGGTTATTGAGAAAGTAGAGAGATGAGGGGTAAAAATAGGAGATTTATTAGCTGGAGGTAATGGAATGTGCATGCTTTAGGGAGTGAGCGCATGCCTGGATGATCACAGCCATGCGGTGTGATGCTGCAGCATGGTGACTGTCGCACCTTGCAGCAGTGTTGGCGCCAGCCTGGTTTATCTCCTTGGAGGGAGGCCTGTGAAGGCACTCACTGGCGGTGTGGCCTGGGGTCCAGCCCCATTGGTAAGTGCTGGAAATGGCGGCCCCGCACCCTTTTCAGAAGGGGAGCTCTGGGGACCGACTGTTGTATTAGGCACCATGGGCTCCACACTCTGCTGGATGCGGACAGCCTTCATTTTTGTGATGAGGATACAAAGTAACGAATTGATTTCACTTTTAGGACCTTCTCCCAAAATTTAGTTACGTGTAGCTTCCCACCAATCTACTCTGTGACTTTCTGCTCGTGGGAATTTCTCTAGTGACTGTGGATACTAAAAGCTTAAATCCTGCCATTTGCCACTGCACTTGGAAAGTCTTTGTTGCGATGCCTTGATTTGTGTGATGTGCTCCTGTGTTGAGAGGAGGTGTGCAGAATGAGGGGCGGCTAACATACAAGCCTCGGGCCTGTCTCAGCCACTTGGCTTGGAAAAGTGGTCACTATGCAGCGCATCACAAAGTAATAGGGGTCTTCCCCATTGTTTTGAGTGATCTTTAGCAAAACAAAAATATAAAAACTATTAATATTATTACTGTTTATAGATTATTGGGAAAAGTTCACTCTGAATCATCCTCTGGATTTTTTTCCCACATTTCTCTCCTTTAAAAATTGTTTTTATGTACAGTATTGACTTTTCAATAAGTAAAGTATGATATAAACGAGTCTTTGAGCCAGAGCACACTATACATAAACCACTTGCATAAGTCAATACGCACACATTCACAATAAAAGGTAGAAGTAAAGTTCTGAAATTCTTCCCTGGGACATGTTTGTTTCCAGATACCACTTACTGTCACCTGCAGGTGGGGCTGGATATTCATGTTTGTCTTCATGATGAAATGTGTTTGTCATGTGTTGTATAGATAGGACTTTTGAGTTGGGGGAAAAGACTCACTTATACTCCCATGGCTGGGAGATAAGAGAGGATCCAGGATTTGGAGCCATATGTCTCAATCTAGACCTGTTTCTCATCTCAAAACTGGTGTATGTTGTGCCAGAAGACTGGCCTGGCTTTCTCTAGGACTTAGCCAAATATGGCATTTGGAGATTGTACAGATGTGTACAAGTGCTTCCTAATATGAAATAATGAGGTTCCCTAGTAAAGACAGCATCCTCTGTGACTCCTCTTTGAATCTGATGGCGTTGATGGACTGGGGTGAAGGGAATTCTTTCTCTTCTCCCCTTCCCAGACTCCCATTTC